GTTACAAAGGTACAACACAATTATTCCAATACAAAATAATTTCCACCTGCATGCATCTGTCTCTACGTATTTAATTTTTTGATTTATTTAATTATTAGGCCAAACTCTTGTGACATGCTTGTTTCAAAGCAAGGGGTGGATCAGAAAATGCTCCAGTTGAAATTTTATCAGAAATAAACTTGGCAGCTGCCTCAGTATAATGAATGCCATCCCAATTCACTCTCACCGAAGGATCTTTGCACGAGCCAACAAATATTTGGTTTCCATTAACTGTTGCTGTACCTCCACATTCAGAACTACCGTTATAGTTGTACTTGCCACCATACCCACAACAAGCAACAAGTGGGAGCTCAAACCCTGAAACATTTGCAACCAATTTAATATAGAGTGAAAATAGATTTCATTCATGGAATTTCTTTGCATATGCTTTCCGTTTTAATAATGCTTAAGAGATCACATTTTTAAACTGCATAAGTGAATTACATTATATGACAGGTGATATGCTTGATTAGTCCAATGAAGTCATTTGAAATTACGTAAGTAAGCAAAACACACAAAAAAACAAAAAAACAACTGCACACTTAATATAGGTTTTGTGAATATCATAAGCTTGCGCGACTTACCATATTTTTTGGGTTCCTTGAAAAGAGAGTATTTGACGGAATAGACGTCTACATAAGTAATTGCAGCCAAAGGTAGATCTTTCCTAAATTGAACTGTGGCTTCCTTCAGCTTGTGGTTAAAATTCTGAGCTACTTCATTGTATGACTTTGCACAGCCAGCCTCATCCTTTTGAGATGGGAAATTGGCTAAGATGTAAGGGAGACAGCCAATTGGCCCAGTGTTGTGGATCCAAAATGTTCTCGCTCCCAAATCATATATTTTCTACATCATCACAGAGTAATCACCACATTAACATCATAATTCACCAAAAGTAAAAAAAAACAGCGAGCAGAAAAATTAAAATATATTCTCTTACTAGACAGTCTGACATGTTATTTGAATAGAGATTCACTATTTATACCTAATATAGGGATCCAAATTATTTATAATAAAAAAATTCCACATGAAATGGACTTTAGAAATACACCCAAATTCCATTTACAACATAACAAAGGGGCTTCGAACTTTCTTTAAATTACAAAATTGCCATCAATTTCTTAAAACAAGCCCAACTCCCAAACCTCATAAAAAAAATTCCAAAACACTCAATAGGGTATCAAAGTAATTTAATAATTAAAATTAAATTCAATAGGGTCAACTGTCAATTTTTTTTTATTTTTTTGGGGTGTATTTTTTAAAATTAAATGGTGTAGAATTTATTTATATCACTAGTGTTAAGAATTGGTATATAACTAAATATTTGAATGTATGACACTTAAAATATAATTGATTCAATGAGTTGGGCCCCCATTGACCAAGACTCTTTGCTGAACCATAACTTTATCACCTGGAAGATTAATTACCTTAATATTTGCCGAGAACCCACTGATTATATCAGGAACCGATGCATTGACCTCTTGAACAGTCAAGTTACCAAAGAACCCCTCTCCTAGGTCATTCTGTCCAATGTCAAATGTGTATAAAGCTTTGGAGAAATACTCCTCCTTGGGCATCAAACTTGCAAATATTCCCCCTATATACAAATTAAACAAAGCTCCAGTCACGAAGTTTTTTGGCTTGAAAATAATTTGTTACCCTAATAAGTAATAAATAATTAAATTTTTACCTCGATGCCTAATGAGTTGTGATCTGGATTTTAGTTGCATGAACTGCACGTACTGAATATTGAGGTAGAAGGGACTAAATCCACCAGCTGGAAAAACTTGATCTGGCAATCTGATGGTGGAAGCTGCAGTGGCAAAATTTGCACCATACGAGAAGTTGGTCCCAAGGGAATCCAGATATGCGCTTAGAAAGGGGTGACCAAGACTCTTCGCTGAACCACAAGTTTCATCAAACAAATTATATTGAGAGAATGGAATTTTATCACACACACAGTATCAAATGTCATGATGTTTGAACCTAAAATCACTCTAAAAGTCAAGTCACTATATGTTCTCTTCATCCAATATTATTTGATATGCATAAAACTTACTGCCGAAAATTTTCAAGAAAAATGAGCGTCCAGAAAGCTTATTGGGCCTACCATGCACTTTGGTCTTTGTGTACGGCATTTGAAAACAATTTGGAAAACAAAAGCAATTTTTCCACCATTTATACATGTTTGAATTGTCAACCATAAGAATAAGATGAGAATTAATTTAAAAGCATATACGTTTAATACCTTTTCCTAAATAAATATTTTTTTAAAAAACCAAAAACAAATAATCCATACCAAGAAAATCGATTATGAGCCTGCCATCTGAGAATCTTCCAACCGGCATATGAAAATAGGTCTCCCCATAAGGTGGTGTTGGTGGCGAAAGGGACGCAGCAAATCCACCAGTATCTGAATTTGAATCTCCAAAGTTAAAGATGGCTGGAAACTCACAGTCTTCTAAAGCCAAGGTAGGGCTCAAAGTGGTGACGTGCGACAAAAGCATATAAGAGCAAAATAGAGAAACGAAAGCTTTGATAGGAATTGTAGGAGACTCCATAGTGGAGAAAGCAAATATGTACCACAAAGATGTTGCAGATGAGAAGTAATAAATTATCCACGAGTATGTTTGTTTTATAGTGCAAAACAAAGGTGGACTTTTCAACTGCATTTGTAGAAAGCAAAAAATGCCAAGTTGCATAAGTTTTCAACCATCTAGAAATCTAGCTACCTGACATTTCAGAATTTGATGCCTAGGTTGCCATGCCCAACTTAGAAAAGCTGTGCGTTTCCAATGTACATTTAACGTCGGTAAGATGCAATTGTAAGATATGACATCGAGTGATGTTATTTATGTGACTTAGGGATAGCAATGGGTCGAATTAGGGGTGGGTATGCCATTTTCATCCCCATCCCTGTTAAGTTTTTTTCTCCTATTCCCCGCCTTCATACCCACAATATTCATATTGGAAATTCCCCATCTCCACCTTCGTTGAGGAATGAGTTCCCCAACCCGCCCTATTCTAGAAGAGAAAACCAATATAAAACTACTTTATTGAAAAAAATAGGCCTAGATAATGAATATATATAATATATATATATATATAAAGTAAAAAGTAGAGAATGGTGAAACATTTAAAATACCATAAAATACCATTGGTTAATTCAAACATTAAGAATTGAAATTATTAATTAAATGAGAATAATATGATAAATTCACATTTTTAGAGAGAGAGAGAGATTAGCATATGGCATATGCTGTTGCTACGTGTGAAAAGGGTTTATGGTAAAATAACAGTTCCGAGAATCCAACGAATTATGAGGCCAGCAATGCTAGCGCTATATGTTCTAAACAGACTTTTAAATCACACAAGTGATTTTCTAAATAAATGGTGAAAACACAAAACCGCGATAAAATCAATACAGAGAACAACCTCTTACACAGGAGTGTTGAACAAGCAAATGTTTGGCAGTTACTGCAGATCTTCTTTAGCATGAAAGAAAATACAAAATAAGGTCTAGGCAAATGACCCCCTTATCATCAATGAAGAAATACTAAAGAAATCTGCTTGTTAGACCTTTTACTTTATAACGTAAAGTGGCATAATGAAGGAAGTTAAGGTTCCAAGTTCGAACTCAAAATTCATCGGACAATACGTGAAGGAGGCCAAAGTTTTTTATATTTTATTTTGGTGAGATTGTGAAGGAAGCCAAAGTTATTTAAACTACTAAGACTTTAAATTCCCGACGTGAGATTCACACTCTCAACACATAATGCTTTTTGTTAACTAGATTTTGCCCAGAATGTCGAATATATTAAATCATATTAATTATGAGACTTGATCAAATCAGTTTGCATTTTTAGTTGAAACTTTGATTAAACACACTAAATCAAAGTAATGTTCCAATTCGAAGAGAAGTATTGAACCTCATAAATAAGAGAAATAAAAATGATAAGTAAAAAATTGGATTGTCAACACAAGGTGGTAGGGGTGGGCACGGTACGGTATTTAGCTTGTACTGCTACCGATACCGGAAATTAAAACCGATATGGTATGGTATATGATTATCGTTTGCCAAAGTTGGTACCGTACCATACCGTGCCAAATCGGTATCGGTACCATTTTGGTATCAAAATGATACAACTAAAAAAATGAACCAATTCAATATTCAACATATTCATTCACCAAAATAAGTGGTATGCTTGGTTTATTTTAACATAAAGATTCTTGTTCTTATCTATAAACTATGTCATAATACTCCTAATTTAAGTCCAATGTCGATTGAGCAGTTCATAAAACACACAAACCATAAAAGATGATGTTGTTCATAAAACAAACATCTTATAATCAATTGCATAATTATAGAACCACAAAAAGACAAACCATAAAACAGACATCTTATAATCAATTGCCACTTTTTTTTTCCTTTTTGAATCTCCCCCATTAGTCAATACTCAATTACTAGCATTTTAGTTCTCAGTAGAAATACATGACTACAAAACAGACAAACCATAATTATAGAATCACAAAACAATAATTCGGTACGTTACGGTATTGACCGGAACCAAATATTTGATACTGCTACCATACCATACTCTATTGGTACGGTACATTACGGTACCGAATATCTCCCCATCCCAAATGAAATGGTATGAAATCGGTATTGTACGGTATGGTTAGTATATGGTTTCAGTATTTTGGTTTAGATGACCACCCCCACAAGGTGGTATAAAATGTAGTATGACTAGCATTGCTCTTTTATTAAAAACCAAGTATAGGAGCCTTTATTGGGTTTACATAAGTATTCATTGGGTGCCTCGGGATTTCAAAACTCCACCTGCATAGGTAGAGGTGGAAAAGTTCAACCAACTGAGTTATACCTCACTGACTTTATTGGGTATTCTAAAGTACTACCTAAATGGCTCAAGGGACCTGCAGTTACAAAGGTACACACACAATTATTTCAATACAAAATAATTTTCACCCGCCAAACTCTTGTGACATGCTTGTTTCAAAGCAAGGGGTGGATCAGAAAATGCTCCAGTTGAAATTTTATCAGAAATAAACTTGGCAGCTGCCTCAGTATAATGAACGCCATCCCAATTCACTCTCACCGAAGGATCTTTGCATGAGCCAACAAATATTTGGCTTCCATTAACCCTAGCTGTTCCTCCACAACCAGAACTACTGTTAAAGTTGTACTTGCCACCATACCCACAACAAGCAACAAGTGGGAGCTCAAACCCTACATTTGCAACCAAATTAATATAGAGTGAAAATAGATTTCATTCATGGAATTTCTTTGTATATGCTTTCCGTTTTAATAATGCTTAAGATATCACATTTTTAAACCGCATTAGTGTGAATTACATTATGTGACAGGTGATATACTTATCAGTCCAATGAAATCATTTGAAATTACATACGTAAGCAAAAACAAAAAAAAACAAAAACTTTATATAGGTACGTTTTGTGAACATCATAAGGTTGAGTGGCTTACCATATTTTTGGGGTTCCTTATAAAGAGAGTATTTGACTGAATAGATGTCTACATAAGTAATTGCAGCCAAAGGTAGATTTTTCCTAAGTTGAACTGTGGCTTCCTTCAGCTTGTGGTTAAAATGCTGAGCTACTACTTCATTATATGACTTTGCACAGGTAGCCTCATCCTTTTGAGCTGGGAAAGTGGCTAAGATGAGAGGGAGACAGCCAATTGGCCCAGTGTTGTGGATCCAAAATGATCTCGCTCCTAAATCATATATATTCTACATCATCACAGTAATCACCACATTAACATCATAATCCACCAAAAGTATATAAAAAAAAACAGCGAGCTGAAAAATTAAAATATATTCTCTTACTAGACAGTCTCATATGTTATTTGAACATAATATAGGGATCCAAATTATAAAAAGAAAAACCCTACATGAAATGGATTTTAGAAATACACTCAAAACCCTTTTACAACATAACAAAGACGCTTCAAACTTTCTCTAAATTACAAAATTACCATCAATTTCTTAAAACAAGCCCAACTCCAAAACCTCATAAAAAAAAATTCAAAACACTCAATAGGGTATCAAAGTAATTTAATAATTAAAATTAAATTCAATAGGGTTAACTGTCATTTTTTTGATGTATTTATAAAAATTAAATTGTGTAAAATTTATCTATATCACTAATGTTAAGAATTAGTATATAACTAAATATTTGAATGTATGACGCTGATAATAGAGACACGACCAATTGTTGAACATAGGATCTTAAAATATAATTGATAGAATGAGTTGGGCCCCCATTGACCAAGACTCTTCGCTGAACCACAACTTTATCTCTGGAAGATTAATTACCTTAATATTTGCTGAGAAGCTACCGATTATATCAGGAACAGATGCATATTGACTTGTTGAACGGCAAAGAACCCTTCTCCAAGGTCATCCTGGCCAATGTCAAATGTGTACAAGGCTTTGGAAAAATACTCCTCCTTGAACATCAAACTTGCAAATATTCCCCCTACATGCATATCGAACAAAGCTCCAATCACAAAGTTTTGGCTTGAAAATAATGTGTCACCCTAATAATTAATAAATTATAGAGCTTCAGTATATTTTTTTACCTCGATGCCTAATGAGTTGTGATCTGTTTTTTAGTTGCAAGAACTGCGAGTATTGAATAGTGAGGGTGAAGGGACTATATCCACCAGGAGCTGGTAAAATGCGATTTGGCAATCTGATGGTCGAAGATCCAGTAGCAAAATTTGCACCGTGCGAGAAGTTGGCCCTAAGTGAATTCAGATATGCGCTTAGAAAGGGGTGACCAAGACTCTTTGCTGAACCACAGGTTTTATTAGACAAGAATTTTGGAAAACAAAAAAGGACAAAGAAAAGAAAACCGCATAAACGAAATGCATGTTGAAAAAGAAAAAAACTTATCATTTACTACAAAGCATATTGGGAGAGGGGAATTTTATTTATTTATTTTTATACAAATTATATTGAGAGAGAGAAATTTTATCACACAGTATCAAGTGTCATGATGTTTGAACCTAAAATCACTCTGCAAGTCAATCTAATTATTACAATAATTATTTTTTAGTCCGACACAACACTAAATATAGGTCTTCTTTATTTTTACAATCCAGCTTCTTAGTCCAATGCAGCATCAAACGTAGGTCAGTACTTAATCTAGCTTAGGCCAATCCGAGCTCATCCAAGACAGTCCCAAAATTTAGTCCAGTCCATAACAATCCGCCGTACCAAACGACCCCTATGTGTTCTCTTCATCCAATATTATTTGATATATATAAAACTTACTGCCGAAAATTATCAAGAAAAATGAGTGTCCAGAAAGCTTATTGGGCCTACCATGCACTTTGGTCTTTGTGTACAGCGTTTGAAAACAATTTGGAAAACAAAAGCAATTTTTCCACCATTATACATGTTTGAATTGTCAGCCATAATGATAAGATGAGAATTAATTTAAAAGCATATACTATTAATAAATTATCCAAGAGTATGTTTGTTTTATAGTGCAAAGAAAAGGTGGAGTTTTCGACTGCATTTGTAGAAAGCCAAAAATGCCAGGTTGTTTAAGTTTTCAACCATCTAGAAATCAAGCTAGCTGGCGTTTCAGCATTTGATGCCTGGTACCACCTTTATCAAGTGTCATGATGTTTGAACCTAAAATCACTCTGCAAGTCAATCTAATTATTACAATAATTATTTTTTAGTCCGACACAACACTAAACATAGGTCTTCATTATTTTTATAATCCAGCTTTTTAATCCAATGCAGCATCAAACGTAGGTCAGTACTTAATCTAGCTTAGGCCAATCCGAGCTAATCCAAGACAGTCCCAAAATTTAGTCCAGTCCATAACAATCTGCCGTACCAAACGACCCCTATGTGTTCTCTTCATCCAATATTATTTGATATATATGAAACTTACTGCCGAAAATTATCAAGAAAAATGAGTGTCCAGAAAGCTTATTGGGCCTACCATGCACTTTGGTCTTTGTGTACAGCGTTTGAAAACAATTTGGAAAACAAAAGCAATTTTTCCACCATTTATACATGTTTGAATTGTCAGCCATAATAATAAGATGAGAATTAATTTAAAAGCATATACTATTAATAAATTATCCAAGATAAACGTGGATGCTAGTTAGACAACGACTCATCCTGATGCTGGTCTTGGAGATGTAATTCGAAATTCTGGTGGTGTGTTCATGTGTAGTTTTGTTGCCTGTAAAATTGCAAATTCGGTTATCGAAGCTGAAGCCCACGCAGCTCTTGCTGGTTTATCACTTGCGGCTGAGATGGGTATGGCAAATGTTGTCATTGAATCAGACTCTCAAGTGCTTGTGAATTGCGCAAGGGGCAAAATTCGTAAAGGAATTTGGTCCATCTACCCCATCCTCTCTGCCATTAGAAGATGCTGCAACAATTTTATCTCTTGAGATTGGCGATGAATCTCTCGTCGGGCCAATAGGGCCGCTGCACTACAAAAAAAGAAATCAACAATTGTTAGCTTTTATTGGTGACTGTTGGCATCATTTAGTCACCTTTTTGGGTGAGTAAAAACAATAGTCACGGTGCAGTTACAATTTTGAGCTTCGTTACATATGAAGCCGTGACTAAAGCCTATTCTTACAATTTTACCAACATTCGTGACAAACACAAACTGACTCTCAATAGCATCTAAAGGTACAGCGGGGCCCATCATCTGTCCAACACTACAAGAAAAAAGGTCAGTAGTGACCAATTTCTCAGTGACAAAATGGATAATGGTCATAAATAGTGTGCATTTAGTGACTAACAATGTTAAATGGTCCCTAAAACTATTGGTGCCCATTTTTTAACTTTTAATGACCAATTCTTTTGACAAATAGTGACTACTCTAAATTTTAGTCCCTAAAATTAACGTAGATTTTATATTTAGTGACCTAAACACATAAGTTCACATGGCACAGTAGCCTTACACGTGTCTTTTAATACATCAGTGACCAATTATTTCTTTTAAAATTTCTTTTCAAAACGAGTTCATCGAGTCAGAGCGTGCACTTCTCCTTCAAAGCAAGCCTCTCTTAGATTGTGCCCTTCTCCTTCAGAGCGAGCGAGCGAGTGTCCTTTTCAGCGAATTCAGAGTTCAAATCGTGCTCTGCTCTCTCTCTCTCTCTCTCTCTCTCTCTCTCTCTCTCTCTCATATGGAAACTTCTCAATTGGTGCGCTCTCTGAACTTGTACTTGATTTTGATTTAGGGTTCAAATGTGTTTTCGACTTTGATTCAGCTCAAGACCTCTAAGGCCCCGTTTGGTTCACGGAATAGATTTGAAGGGAAATCAATTCCCATGTCATTTCCTAAGGAATGAGAATGAAAGATTCATTTCCTATGTTTGGTAATATCAGGAAAGTAACCGGGAGATTTCACTTTGTTTCCTTTCCCATGTTTGTTTTGAGTAGGAATGGAAAACAAATTTTGTATAATTTTCCAATTATACCCCATATTAAATCAAATAAAAAAAGAATGTATTTAATGATACATTGTAATTTTAAATTGTTCATGGGGACAAAATAGTCATGAAAATTGTGCATTGAATGTTGGCTCATTTTCCCAAACTTTCCCATGAAAAGGGAAAACAAAACCCAAGTTGAGAGGAGGGTTTCACTTTCCTCTTTACTTTCCCATGTGCTAGGCAACCATTTCTCATGCATGAACTTACCAAACATGGGAAAACAATTGAATTCCCATTCCCAAGCCTCTTTTCCCATGAACCAAACGGGGCCTAAGGTATTTTCTTTTTTGTTCTCTCACTCAATAACTGTGGATTTGGGGTTTCAAAAGCTAAGCAATGGAAGGGCGGGTTAGGTTTTCCAAAATTGAGAGAATGATGGAGTTAGATTTCGATTTCGATTTCAATTTCGGCTTTGATTTCGATTGGTTTGACCCACTACTCGAGCGTCGACTTTTTGGTTGATCGGATCCATCTTCGATGCTTTTCTTACTCGCTTTCACGATTTCTTTGATTTCGTTTGGATTTAAAACTTCATTTAATAACTAATTAACTATTAATTTGAGTGATTATGCCATTATTTGATCCATCAAGCTTATGCAATGGATTTAGTGAGGAACAGGTATATTGTCTTTAATGATTTTAGGCTCTCCTATTGTGTGTATTAACTGGTTCATATGATGCTGTTTCTTCAGGCTTTCATTCAGAACTTGGCATTGTTTCTCACTTCATTT